TTGCCCTAATCTCCGTTGACGCATGGCAGGGCTGCAGCTTGCTCGGGCTGACGCTCAAATTCTGACTTCTGCGATTAAGCTGAAAATGATTACGAGCGAGCAATGCAGACTTCTCCGCGTCTCGGATGGAAATTGCTGCGAGCACGAGCAACCTCGCTCCCAGAAACCCATACCTGGTCGGATCGCAATCTCGGACAACTCCCCTGTACTTTTCTTTTTTACTCAACTTCGTTTCAACGCAAAATCAATTTCAGGACCCTTGCCACAATCACCGCACCGGCTTACGGGACGGCAATAACGGCGGTAACCGTACGCGGCCAGTTGTTGCAGACGTGACCTATTAGTGTGCACTCTCAGCAGGGGAACTCGCAGTGGGAGGGGGTTAAAATGGACAGGCGGCAGGAGAGGTTGTGGGAGGGGAGGGTTGTTGGGTGTGTGGTGGTGGTAGGGGGAGGGAGGGAGGCAGGGACGGGGGGGGGGGTTGGGGGTGGGGAGCGGCAAAGTCCTCACACATGAAACGCGGCGTGCAAGGCCCCGGGCTAAACCGGCGGCACGGGCAGATTACGGCTAAATTGGAAACAGTCCGCGTGCTGCCAGGCTGGACGGAAAACAAACCGAGCCGTATGGTCTGAATTAGCGTCAAGTACATCCAGCTCGAAGCTCTCCCCTCCTCGCTTCAGCCCAGCTCAACGCAGCGCTAGACCATCCCGGGCCAGCCCAGCCAACCAGGGACGAGCAGGCAGTCCCACCAGCCCGCCCCAAATCGGCGACCTTAACCCCCCCCCACCCCCCCACTGCTACCGCCCCCCGCCCCCACCACTAGCCATCGCTTTCATCTCGCGGCCGGTGAGCCGGGGGCCTCCGCGCAGGCAAGGCATGCGGACTGGCTGACATTTCGGCGTTTAAACTACCGGAAAGGGGGGGGGGGGGGGGACCGCGTCGACAGAGCCAGCGGCCGGTCACCATTACACGTGCCGGCGAGCGACGGCAGCGCGACGGTGGCGCGACGACAGCGAGGGCTGCCGGTTGATGGCGGACGCCGTTACCTGAACGCGGCGAGGTACTCGGCGTCGCCCATGGGTGGGTCCACCCCTCCCGTCCACGCCACGTTCACCGTGAAGCCCACGCCAGGCCCTGTGCCCACCTGTCATCGTCGTCACAGGCACCATCATGATCATTATCATCACCACCACCATCTTATTTTCATTATCATCAGGGTCATTATCGTCATTGCCATCATCATGGCCATCATCATAATTATTGTAGACACCATTGTCATCATGATTATCATAGTCACCAAAATAACATTTTCTGATATGGCGTGTGATTGTACGTATACAAGTAGTCATATCAGTCAGTCAACCCATGGCACCTGGGTCTGTCCATTACCTGCCAACAGGTGTTTGACACCCTAACGTGGCCTTAAAGTGCATAGCCTGGCACAAGCGCCATGGTGACATCACCAACCACATAGTGGCGAATGGCAGTTGTTGTGTTTGTACAAGTAGTAACAAAGACAAATTAAACTCCAACTGCAGAATAAGCCAAATGCTGTGGGCCCACAAGAATAACTGTGTACATGAGGAGACATCTCACAGAACACACACTGAACACGGGATTCTGAACACGGCGCAATACGAGTGCACAGAAACGCACAGCGGCCATAAAAAGCTAAAAGCAATGACAGGAGAACATAGTCCTGGCTTCCCGTGAGTCTCCGCTGCCACCAACCGAGACCTCCACGCGGTGCCCACGGGGGGGGGGGGGACAGGGCTCCCAGACCGCAGTGCGGGGAGATGAGACACAACAAAGAACTATTTAAAAAAATCTTTACTAAACTAATTTTATTTTACCAGGTAAGGCCCATGAGCTATGTAGCTCTTTTTCAGAAACGACCTGGCCAGAAATGGCTTATCACGTGGAACATGTATAGCAGCCAATACTCTAAACGCACGTTATAAATGTGGAGGGAAAAACCGGAGGACCCGGATACAAAATCTGCGCGACCACGGGGAGAGAGTACATGCAAACCCCAAAATATAACAGCAGGAGTCAGGGTCAGGCTGGAACCCACGACTCCTGTATACCGGGTGAGGTAGTTGACATCTCGCCACCATGGCGCACCTCTGACTCTCGAAGACGAGTAGGCATTGGCGAGTTGGGGGCACCGTTGAGATCCCCACCGCATGCGGTCCTGTACGAACGCAATCCCACACGCGCGATCCCGCACGAGCGATCCCGCACGCGCGCTGGTCCCGCACGCACGCGATCCCGCACTCGCGCGCGTCCGTACAAGCGCGATCCCACACGCGCGCGATCCCGCACGCGCGATCCCACACGCGCGCGATCCCGCACGCGCGCGGTCCCGTACGCATGAAAGCAGCTCTCACCTCCTCGGGAGCCCCGCTGCCTGGGAAGAAGTTCCGTTGTCGTATGCGGTGCAGCGAGCGTAGAGGACGCCGGGGTCGCTGTAGAACGCCTGCTGGGTGCCGTTGCCGTGGTGCACGTCCTGAAGCACGCGCACGCACCACGCACGCAAGCAAAGCGTGAACACGTGGAATGAAACATGAAGTGCACGGAACACACCCAACACGCAGGCAACGCGCAACATAAAAAACACAGACGCACGCGCTCGAACAAACGCGGCACGTGAACGTACATACACACGAATATGCGCGGATATGCTCGGATACACGCGACAACATCCGCATGGACACTAAAACACAAAACATATGCTTAAACACAATAACAGACACATACAAATGCAAGAACATAGAAATAAGCAAAAAGGACGCACAAGCACACATCTGGTGACTGAACACACACTGAACAACATACTTGGCCACGTTATCTCCCCAGTGCTGATGTATACACACCGCAACCCGCTATTCATTTATTGCTTGCTCTACCTAAGGGAGGCCCAGGACTGGTTCAGATACCAATGTATTTGAAGTTAACATGAAATGAACTCAAATGACCGCGTTTATAGTGCAGTGTGAAACTACTGCACCACTGCTCAGCACACAACACACCGCACACGCAAATGTTGTTGTGTATATACACACACACGCCACATGTGAGAACAGAGACACACACAAGAAAATGCACAAAACACATTTACCGTCAGGCTTTGGCCCAGAGTAAACAATATTCATGGAATACCAACACTTAAAAAAGAGCACAGGCAATGCCAGTAATAGTTTGCTGGACATTCATACAAATACTCAGCGTTATGTATGCACAGGATGAAACTGCTTTCAGACATGCAATGCTAGCCACACCACAGAATCAGCGCAGCGAGAATGTGATAGCGGCTTAACGGGGAACGGTGAGTCACTGCACTTGCTCATTTGCACCCCGAGGGCGCGGTTGTCAGTGCCGTCTGTGGTGGATCAGTGGGTGGGTGAGTCCACCAAAAAGGTGTCCACCAGCCCCATCAGCCGCACGAGGACGATCCCACCGCTACCCGGGCCATATCGTGCCCAGCGATCTCCAGGCTGAGCCTCACACCCCACCCCACCCAGCGTTGCCAACTCTTTTAAAGTGGAAAGTTACCAAACGAACCTCAAAATGTCCACAGATAGACATTCTTAAAGCCTCTGGAGCTATGCACTTTACATCTAAATTGAAAACTAATTTCTTTACAATCCTTGTTGTTGCGATTAGTTGTAGTCCTTCCGCCGCACCTCCGATTAGCACGGATGGCTACATACGGTGAAGCTCAAGATAGATACTAAAGATATCAGTCGGTAATTTACCAAGTGTTACGCATAGTAAAGTGATACAGGAGCCTAATGTATGATTTTTAAAATTTTATTATGGTGATACAGAATCCTTAATTCACACCTGGAATTGCTACTAGAACCTAATTATCCCCTTGTCTCGGACAACCACTCGATACGTCACTTGTCGTTTTGACAAGATGCCTTCACCCAGGGCAAACCAGAAAGCCACTGGATTTGCCGATAAATCGCCGAGTTGGCATCACTGGAAACACCTCGCTTCCGGCAGAGGCTGCGGGGGTGGGGGGGGTCAAAGGACCCTCAAAGCCGCACGAGCGAGTAAGGGGGCTCATCAGCCCCAGAGACAAAAACGCTCCTTCACACGAAGCGGGGAAGCCTCGGTGTTGATTTAAGTTAATGACGATGGCAGGGCGCGGCCGGGGCCTAGTGAAGGCCTGGCCGTTTTCCCAGCGAGCGCCGCGGGGGCCCCGGGGCTGTTTGTGCACGTGCCGGGGGCCCCGCGGGGGGCGAGGGGTCGGCGGTTCTGAAATCTGCGGCCTCCTGCCGGGCTTAGGCTTTGCAAACAGATCAAATGCCGTCCCTTCCGTGAAACCGCCGCGCCAATCTCTTGCCTCAACTCCGCCTAGGCCTCAGCGCCTGCCCTTGTGAGGAGGGACTGCAGTGTGCATCTGTCTTTATGAGGCACTTCACCATTGGTGGCTGCTGTTTAAGGCACTTCGCTATTTATGTTTATGTTTAAGGCACTTTGCCATTGGTGCTTGCCTTTTAAGGCCCTCGACTATTTCAGTATTTTATTTAAGGTATTTTCCTATTGATGTCTGCCTTCTAAGGCACTGTTATTCATATTTATGGTTTAAGACACTTTTCCACTGATGTTTATATTTCTATTTCAGGCACTTTAATTAACACTTGAACACTGGTGCCTGCCATTACAAGCACTTTACACCCGCGTGTAACATTTCACACATGCGATGTCTCCTCAATGTGCCAATGTGGACAATGTTCGTGCCTTTCGAATCGGTCATTTATAGCTGCGAGGGCCCCAGGAATGACACTTTCACAAGCATCGGATGCCAGTCCACGTTCTCCCTGCCTTCTCCCCTGGATCCCAACAACTCAACGGCCATCGTGAGGAACGGGGCGACCCAGGAAGATGAGCACCGTACGTCAGGGCGAGAGCGGTAGGGGACAGGGGGCATAGGGATATGAGCGACGGGAGTGACTATGGGGGGGGGTGATGGGCAATGCTCACCCAGTCCACGATGAGGATGCGGCTCAGGTGCAGGCGCTGCTGAAGCATCCGTGCAGTGACCGCCACGGAGTTGAAGATGCAGAAGCCCCTGCGGACAATCGATCAAGGCCAGAGGAGGGTGGGGGGGAGTGCGGGGGAACACGATGTCATGTGATCAACAACTGCGGCAGCAGAAGCAGCGGCGGAACAACAATTGGAGTAATGTTAACAATAGGCTTGTTTCAATCTTGTCCTGGATAACGTTGGCATCCACTGACGAATGAAGGTCTCCGCATGCCATTGCCATCTCTTGCAGTCAGTCTTGTGACGCAACAATCCATCTAGTTCGTGGACGCAAATGTTTATAATTTGCACGTCATTTGAATAAATCCTCAATGTGCACATGCACGGTCTGACGGCGTGATCGCAAGACTCGACAAATTGTAGTTACACATTAACCATCGCCCACCCAGCCGGGCGGCATCACACACAAGTACTCGACCCCACAATGGTGCCGTGGCGCTCTGCAGCTATACCAGGTCTTCCTTTGCAAACAGAACTGTCGAGTCTCAATTAAGCTCTCGCTTGGTTACGAGTGGAGGCCGTCACCCACTCACATGCCCGAGCGCTAAGAGATGAACGCCACCGAGCAGCACTCACATGGCGAGAGACTCCTCCGCGTGGTGTCCTGGAGGCCGCACCACAGCAAAGCCGTTCTGGCAACGACAAGACGCACACGCGGGCACACTCGCGCGTAACTACACATGCGCGCATTCACAGGTGGACAATAATCCTCCATTTATCATTAGGGACGGTTGGGGCAAGTGCCGTTAGCGAGCACCTATTAAGGCCAGAACAATGCACGAGGGGGGTGGGGTGCGGGGCAGGTGCTGGGTTGGCCGACGTCGCGTTAGCTCACTCCACCCGTCTATGGGCGTCACGGCCCGGGCTGCCAGGCCTCGCCGCCACTGCCCTGCGCTGCCTCCCGGTGGGCGCTGCCGCCGCCGCCGCCGGCCTCACCTTGAGCTCCCCGGTGGCCACCTTGAAGGCAACCTCGAGGACAGAGCCCACGGCGAGCCGCGCCGCCATGGCCGAGTGGGCCTCGTTCCAGATCGTGTCGCTGTCCACCTGGCCAACGACGACAAAAGCGCTGGAGTTAGCGGGCGGTTAGCGGCGGTCACCGGTTATCGGCGGTAAGCTTAATCCAGGCCCAAAAGCTTGCATTAAGCAAAAACCACGACTGGATATTCTATTTCCATTTCTTTAGCATTCAAATGCGACTGCATCTGAAGACACTGTACAGGCATTTTTATTTTTCAGAGCAGCAATCGGTCATGGGCACAGGAAGGGAAAGTCTTGAGCCTGGAACAGAGGCAGGTGTTTGACAGCATAATTGGTGCTGATGCTCTACAGATAGTAAGGGAAAGCGCTGTTAGTGAGCAGCCATTCAGACTGGCACGACAAATTAAGTGTTGGGGTATCCAGCATCACGCCAAGGCCAAATAACACGCACAAAGACAAAGATTTCCCGCGGAGCCTTTAACAGACTGTCGGGGCAAGCGCTGTTAGCGAGCACCTGTGAAGGCTAACACGGCACACGAGGGAGGTGGGTGGCCTGCACAACGCCTGGTTGCCTCTGTCTCCTCAGTGTTGATGTTTATACACAGCAACCAGGTACTCATTTGAGGGGAGACCCAGGACCGGTTGAATTTACATTGCTTATGGCTTTATTTTGGTGATTTCGAAAAGTTTTTGGTTTGGCCATGTTTGTTTGTTGTAGTACGGAGTTAGAATGATGGCTTTAATCTAAGTTGTTTTGTGGTTGTTGTTGTTGTTTGACTTGCATCCCACTGGGATTTTTGCACAGCGTTGGTGTACGGTGCTTTTTTTATGAAAGACTTTGCAGTTTTTTCCTGGATTTTTCTGTTTGCGCATAGTCACTTTAAGATGTTTTCTTGTTCATGTTTTTTTGTTGCAGTTGCACCCGATTCAAGAGCCGAATGGCTCACAGGGCTATACCAAATAAATGAAACTGAGAAAAACTGAAATATTCACCACTGTTATTGGTCACGAGTGGGTATCGAACTTCATAGCGAGGTATGGTAACCACTCTGCTACCGCTCACCGTGTCATTTACACAGACACACACAAAGATGTCACGATTAGCTTACAGGCTGTTGAAACACACGAGCCAAACACACGCACAGCTTAAGAGAACGTCACAACAGCCTAATGAGGTTACGGATTGTGTAGCCTCGTGAGCAAAACCCAGGAAATTTGCTCAAATTAGTTTTGCATTAGCGTTGCTACTCAGCTGGTGGAAATTGTAAAACCGAGGATGCATTTTTCCACAGCTGTAATTTATTTACTTCACGCACGCTGAAACAAGCGCGGGATGGGAATTCGTGCAAGCATGCGCGCGTACACACGATGATTTCATTCCAGAAAAAATTCTTCCTCGAAACGCGCGTCGTCGAAGAGAGAGCAAAAAACGCTCAAGAATAAAAAAACGCATTTCGCTTTGTGCGGACAGAAGCCAAGAAAACAAACAAAAACAAACCCAGGGCCATCATCAAAGGCCAAGCGCCAAGCTCATGTGAACAGAATGAGCCCTCCACCCCCACCACGGAGGAGATCCCCATGAACTCCTCCTCCTCCTCCTCATCCCCCCCGCCCCCTGCCCCCCACAGTCCCGGCCTCCTGTGGCAGATGGCGTCAATCTGACCTTCTGTGGGGGCCCGGCTCCCACCCCCTGCAGGGAGACAGGAGGGGGCACGAGCACGGGGAGGGCGGGGGGGGGGGGGGGCACGCATGCAGACCCCATAACCCACCCCCCTACAACCCAACAACCCCAAAATCATTCCCTAGCCGGCTCTACAAAGTTCACGGGCCCAGGCTGCGGTGCGATTCTCGTGATTTGTTTGCGCGTCCGCCGTAGGCGCGGCTGCGTCGGAGCGGGACGATCGCGGCCGGAGGTGCCCCACGAGCACCACGTGGACGTTCGCCGATGCGTCGCGGAACAGCACGGCGACGACGGCGGCAAGAGCCAGGTTTGGTGATTTATGGCGGAGCGGAGGCGTTCGACACTAAACTGCGGTCTCCTCCCCCACGCCGCTCTCCCCCGCTTCTAGCGGGGCGGCAGAGCGGCACCGTTTTACGCGCAGTTTACGAGAAACAAAAGATTCCTCGCCCTAAACCAACACAAACACCGACGGGCGGCGGTGGCGGCGGCGGCGACTGGGGCAGCTGTCGGCGGACGTCAAGTGTGGTGCGAGTGAGCGACGGCGCCGTCTCGTGTGACACGAATGTTGGCGTCTCTCACCAACGTGTGTCACACGGCGCCGCCTCCAGCTCAACAGGAGCTCCAACTAACAAATGTCGTGCAATGCGTAAATCGAATCGAACAGGTGAGATGGCGCCAGGATGAAACCTTCTCTTCTCATGGGGGATTGCTCACACCACTCGGGTCCCCGAGACTTTTGACTTTGCCAACAACGCACCGACAAGAAAATAAACAAAAATATCCAACGTGCCATAGGTGCATAGAAATGTTACCTTTCACTTACAGGTGGCCACGCCTAAACCCAGCGACTCGACTCGCCAGGATGTTCATCCTGGGGCACGAGAGCAAGCGATGGGGGCGGAACCTCCGAGCTCAACAATAGGACTCGCTAAAGGAAGGAAGTCGATCGACCAATGGGACTCGGCTCATCAGCAAGGAATGCCTGCGCTGCAAAGGCAGTGGCCGTGGCCCCATGTGTTTCCCATCCGTTTGCGTTCCCGCGGCGATAATTGCATTCGGTGTCGCGAGCGCACGCGCGCGGCCGTGAGCGCCGCCCGGGCGCACGGGCCGGCAACAGCGCGCGTGGCGCCACCAATCAATTACGCGCGCCAGGCGGAACGGCGCGCAAGCCGGCGCCCTGTTTGCGAGCCGCGTTGGCGGGGCGGGGCGGGTGGCACGACCGACAACAGCGGGAAAAAACCCGATATCGGAACGAGGGGCGGACGCGCCGATAGCGCGTCCTCGCTCGACGCAAACAGGGGGTTTGAATAACGCTGACGCGCAAAATGGGGAGGAGGGGGGGACTGCTTACGGTTTGGCCGAGAGCCACCGCTTGTCACTGATTCTTTGGAAGAAAAATAAAACAAAAAAAACGTTAAAATTGATGTTGTTTGTGCACTTTGAAGTGCCGTTTTGAGAAGGGGCCCTTTCATGTCTGTAAAACTAAGAATGATTTAGCACGTGCAGGGGATCAGATGGAAGGCGGGGGGGGGGGTTCGGCAAAAGCCACGGATGGGAGACAAGAATGGGAGGAAAATAACACATCGTGTCCTAAAGAGTCTCATGAAAAACGTAGCTTTGTTTTGATTCTTTTGTTTCGCTCAACTCAAAGGGAACACAAAATGCTGGTGTTTGCCTTGGCTCCCGACATAAAGTCAAGCGGGCCTCGGCCCCAACGTCTCCTTGCCTGCTTCGAACGACAGAAATGAGCACGCGAGTTACTGAGCGCCGTGCGCGTTACAGAGGGGACCGTGGGGTGCCATGGAAGTGAGATGTTAACTACCTCGCCTGGTATACAGGAGGTCCTGGGTTCAATCCCAACCCGAACGCCTGCTGTATATTTGGAGTTTGCACGTTTCTCTCCCGGTGAGCATGTGGATTTTTCTCTGGGTCCTCCAGTTTTCCCCTCGACATTTACAATCAACATGCATGCTTCACTCCCGGGAGACTGGAGTGTGGTCTCCAGGTGAGGGGGGAACAGCTGCCCTTAGTGGAAAAGTTTAAGTACCTCGGGGTCTCTTTTGCGAGTGAGCGGGAGATCGGCTGGCGGATCGGTGCGGTGTCCGCAGTGATGCGGGCGCTGTACCGTTCTGTGGTAGTGAAGCGGAAGCTGAGTTCTCGAACAAAGCTCTTGGTTTACAGGTCGATCTACATTCCCACCCTCACCTATGGTCATGAGCTTTAGGAAACGACGGAAAGGATGAGATCGCGGGTACCAGGGAACGAAATTACGTTTCTCCGCAGGGTTTCCGGGCTCACTCTCCGTGATCGGGTGAGCAGCTTGGCAATCCGGGAAGAGCCTCAGATTCGAGTCGCTGCTCTTCTGGAATGAGAGGAGCTAGTTGAGGAGGTTTGGGCACTTGGTAAGGATGTCCCCCACTAGACTCCCCCTGGAACTCTGCCGGGCATGTCCTGGGCCAGCCCCAGGGCTGGCCCAGGACACACCAGGGAAAGAAAAATCTGGACTGCCCTACTCAACACGCTGCCGCCGGGACCCTCACCAGGACAAGCGGATTGAGGAACGAACAAACGACGCATTTAGGGTATTTGGCTGCTTCGTTGAGCTTTCATGTGGGCCAGGTCGCTTCTGACAAAGAACTGCATAGCTCGGTGGGCCTTACCTGGTAAAATAAAAATAGCTGAATTGAGTAAAGACGCATGTGCCAGATCGAGTGAGGCGGCAGCGGCGGTTTGCACGATTCCTCCTATTACTGAGTAAATTAACAAATAGGCTGCAGAGCCTCCGCGTGTTTACATTGGCTCCGGCCATTTAAAGCCGACCCATCAGGGGAATGAGATAAAAACGTTATTATTTTATTCAATTGGATTTTGCTCCTCGCAGCTTTTAGCTTCGCTACATCCACATTCAATTTTCGCCTGCACGGGGGTGGGGGGGGGCGTTCAATTCGCGCTCAACGGTTTGAGGCAGCCTCGTGCATAACGATTACGAACGAGTTTATTTATAGCGTAAGTTTCCAGATTAAAAACGTCTCCTCGCTCGTCCCCGCCCGCACGCCTGGCTCCTCGCTTGCCCGATTGTGTTTAAGATCCCCGCTCAAACGACAACAACAACAAGCCCAAGTGCGGCGCGAGGGGCTCTGGTTCCTGCATTTGGAAGCCCGTGGTCTCGCGGGAGGCATGCACACGCACTCCTCTCCCGCTGCGGTGAGCGGTGAGGGGTGAGAGTGGATGGGGGTGGGAGAGGGGGGTGAGCGGGCGGTGAGCGAGCGGAGGGTTCGCGCAGGTGTGGCACGCACAGTGCGGGTGAACTCGCCAGCTCGCAAGCCCCCAACGGTGAGTTCATTCCGCACGCACTTACAGCTTCCTCTGGGGCTCGGCCAAGGTGCACTCATTTAGCAATGTCTAACCTAAGTGGATTTCAAGTCCCCGAATAGAGCGGCTACTTGGGTTTCCACGCGTAATGAGACAAATCCACGGTCGGAGAGCGCACGCCGAGTCGCAGGGCGCCCCCCCCATTCCAAACCGTACAGCGCACGTTCCGCAAATGTTTTACAAATTTAGTACGCGCGCGCACACCCACGCGCGCCCCGTGCACCCACGCACGCACCCATACATACGTGCATGCACGCACGTACCCCACGCACACATGCACGCACGCACCCAAGCACACATGCACGCACACAAGGCGAAGCCAAATCCTCTCCCAACGTGTCGCACCCACTTTGTATATTCATCATTAGCCGTGTCGAGGTCAAAGAGGCTGGTACCATTATATACGCCAATCATAGGGCCGCCATGACGTGAACGCGAACCGGAAAGACGGAGCAGCCTGGGTGATGAAGAGTGGAATTCGGGATTGTCTGCAGGATTCAGAAGAATTTGAATCCAACTGGGAAGAGCTCCCAAGCCGGGGCTGCTAGCCGAGTCGTTCCCACACTCCGCTCCGTCGCTGTTTTTGCAATAAGCTAGGAAGCACGAAATAGCGTGTTTGATCTCTCTCGGAGAAACCCGGGAGCATGCATTTAACCCATCAGGACTAGGCATGGACGGGTGAGTGGCAGCTCCAATTGCTTTGCCAATCACGTGGTCAGGTTCCCCTGAAGGACCCTTGAGCCTCGCAGCGCGGGCTCTCGCTCAGGCTCTTTGGCAGGAATCACAAACTCACCCCGAGGCCTCCGCACGGCAGCATCACCAAGGTCTTCTGAGACGACGGCCCTGGGGTGGGGAGAGGCGGGGGGGGGGTACAGAGACGGACGGACGCGCCGTTTCAACGAAACCGTAATTTGGTTTATCGCGCGGGTCAGCGTCGCCGCAGCCGCGGCTCTGTTGGCGGCGCACGCCTCGACCTGCCGCTAAACCGGCGTTCACAAAGAACGTTTCTCTGAAGGGAGCTGCCAAAAAAACGAAAACCACAAAAGCCGCATCGCCGAGAGAACATAGGAGGCCATTTTGATGGGAAGCGGTCGTGTCGTTTATTTTAGTATTGCGTTTCGTTTATTTGTGTTTTTTTAAGTTTGCAGACCGAAACAAAAACACCGCCGATAGTAAAACCCAAGCTGGGACCAAGCGGGCAGAGAGAGGGGGAACGGAGAGCGGGGGGGGAGAAGGATTCTTGCGGAGGAGCTCTCTCCCCACAAACAATGAGCGACTCGTGCGACCACGAGCGGCAGCGGCCGTCCCCAAGCCAACAGCAGGGCGGGAGGGGCGCCACAGAAATTGCGGTGGCTTGAAGGAGGGAGGCCAAGCTGAACACCAGAATGGTGGTTTGGGCGTTGCCGCGTTGTGTTAACGCGGGGGGACGCGGCCACGCAGGCGGGGGAGGGGGTGGGGGCGGGGCGGTGCAGGACGGGATCGCCGGGGGAGCGCCGGCGCTGTGACCGACCGGTCATGTGGGAGACGCATGGCCTGTGGGCCTGCGGAGGGTGGAGGCCCTCTAGGTCGGAGCTCCTCATAAATGATGAAGAGATGGAAAACAGGCTTTTCGTGATGGCAGCTGCAACGCAAGTTTTGACACTCAATTACGCGTCCGCAATATAATCCACTCAGGCGCTGGCTAGCGTTGGGCTTCTTTAAAATCCGAGATTCGGGGATTGGCTTGTTTTATTTTATTTTATTTGTTTTTACCACAGGTGACAAAGAAGCCAAATTAGGCCGGGCCGCGCGTGCCTGCCGGCAGCGGCGTTGGTCACGAGCGGGCAGCGACAGCAGAGCGGAAGGAGTCCGAGAGAGCAGCAGCGGCGGGGGAGGGGCGGCAGCGAGGGAAGCGAGGCAGGAGAGCGCCACAAAAATTGGCTACTGCTGGAGAGGTGGGGGTGGGTAGTAGGGGGGGGGCTCAAGATGCACAGCGAGGGGAGGGGGGCGCGCTGGGGTGAGCTGCGTGCAGAGAAGAGGAGGAGGGGCGGTAGAGGTACACCGGGGGCACACGGCACAGTTGGGATGGGCGGGGGATCGGCCCACGCATGGCAGTACCGAGCAGCTTCTTGTCGAGACGGTGCTGGCTGAGCGAGCTGGCGCCGTAGAGCAGAGTGTAGCGCTCGGAGTGCACCGACTGGATCTCCTCCAGCGTGGCTTTCCGTGGCCGTACGCGCTACGGCAAAGGCAAAAGACAAAGATCCCCCCCCCCGTGTAGCCTTAACAGACTGTTGGTGCAAGTGTCGTTAGCGAGCAGCACCTTTGAAGGCCGGCACGGCACACGAGGAGATGGGTGGCCAACACCACGCCCTAGTGGTGATGTTTACATACCACACCAAGTTCTCATTTGAGGCTGAGTCAACCTTGGGGAGTCCATGACCCATTCAGATAATCATCACTGGTGTTGGCCGTGAGCGGAATCGAACTCAGGTCACCGGGTTTGTAGCACAGCGCGCTAACCGCTACACTGCCGCTCCCCACAGTTCAGATGTCACAAACAAACACACGTGTATGAACTAGTGCACAAGCACACACGTGCATTGCACACTCTTACGCAAGGTGCCGCCACTGAACGAGATTTTGACAAATTAGGCCGACGGTCGTGGGCGAAAACCCAGAAACGCGACGCCGCGTTCACCTTTGCCCCAAACGACCTCGCGCTTCCACAAATGAAAGGCGCCGCACGGAGCGAGCGATACGAGTGGTTTGTGGGAACGCGTTTACCTCGAGCGTGGGAACACACGTGCGCAGGACATGCGCACACACTCGCACAAGCACGCACACACAGGTGTGTGGGTATGCCGGCACAACGTTAACGGTGTTAACAGGCTGCAGGGCTAAGGGATGTCAAGGTCTGCATGGCACGCAAAGCGTTTGGCGCGGCCTGCACCACCCCGAGACGTATCTGTCTCCCCCACTGTTGATGTCAATACAACGCACCACGTGCTCATTGAAGGTGCAGTTGACCTAGGGGAGGCCCGGAACTAGTACAAATATACGAGCGAGAATCAAACTCGGGTTGCCGGGTTTGTAGGGCAATGCGCTAAACCCACTGCACGACCGCTCCCAAATAACATTCATGAATAATACTGCCTAACACCAGAGGTGTGGACTCGAGTCATGTGACTTGGACTCGAGTCAGACTCGAGTCATGAATTTGATGACTTCAGACTCGACTTGGACTTGCATAACAATGACTTTGTCCCACCTCTGCCTAACACTCACATAAGCTAGTCTGCAACATCATAATGGCTCAAAAGACAAGCCAACGGGCTTGGGCAGAACGTTTCGCTTGAAACATCAATCCCCAGTGGACGAGTCTCACGAGTGGCAGGCCAGAGGAGCGAACACGCCTGAGAATACGTACACCGTGGGGACGGAGCAAGGTACTGAACTTCTTTTGCACCATACATAGCCATCCATACTAATCGGAGTTATGGGAGAAGGACAACAAACGAAACTCGTTGGCAGGTGACAGATCACTGAGATCACAGGACCGCGAAAGATGGCGGAGGCGGCTTTAGCGGAGGGCCTTCCATCCAGCGGTGGACGGAACACGGCCGACGTCAAAGACACTCACCTCGCACTGTGTGGCGAGCCCCGTCTCCTGCAGGCGCGACCAGATGCTCTGGATGCGCCCGGCGTGCTCCGGGTGGAACGTGTTATCTCCGCAGCTGCACTGGTGCTTCTGCATCTGCGTGTCATACGCCAGGCCTGCGTGCGTGACCGGGGGGGCGGGCAGCACGACACAGGACAGCGCGACGCGGGTCAACACAGCGTCGAGACGCGCCCGCATCTCAGGGCGACGTACAAAAGCAAATTCACGTTCTTTGGTTCTTTCGGTAAAGTCACGTAGATAGAAAAATAATAAAAAATAAAGGTAATAAAAATAAAATAATAATAAAATACAAACCACTAATGTAGACTGTAGTCTGGTTCTTAATCGGAGTGAGTGTACTGGCAGTCTATAATGTACACTGTAGCCTGGTTATTTAGTTTGGTGAGTGTACTGGCAGTCTATAATGTAGACTGTAGCAATGGTTATGAATCTTGGTGAGTGTAATGGCAGTCTATAATGTAGACTGTAGCAATGGTTATTAAGTTTGGTGATTGTACTGGCAGTCTATAATGTAGACTTATTCTTGGTTCTTTCGGTAATTGGTTCTTTCAGTAATTTAATTTACAAAAGCAAGTTACAATAGCTGGGCTTGAACAGGGGCAGGGAGCCGAGGGTCTCTACGCGAGGGTAGGGAACGTATCGTGCGTCGACAGAAAATGTACAGAAACAGTGTTTTACAAGAGGCACTCATTGACGTGCATCCCTTATATCAATCCGCTGCGGGATGAGGGCCTCCTCCAGCAGCAATCCCAAAGGCACGCACAGGTCGGGCATGAACGTGTGCGTGCGATGGCACTGCAGCACCGCCGCCGCCACCACCGTGCCCGCACACCTGTGGTGAAGCGGAGCGGGCGCGGGGGCTCGGGCGCCGGCGCTAGACTGGTGTACGCGGGCGAGGAGCGCGTGCGGATGAGCGGGCGGTGCGCCGTCAGCCCTGCCGCTACCCCCGATGCCGCCAGCTGCGCCTGGTACAGGTGCAGCTGCTGAATTCTCTGCTGCTCCAGCAGGTGACCCTGGGCACACGGTGGGAGAGGGGGGGGGAGAGGGGGGTACACGGGCAGCACGAGCGGTCACCAGGGGGGGGGGAACGGCGCTAGCGGTAGCGCCCGGCGCCCCCCGGGGAGGGCGGTTCTCGACCCCGGTTTGCGGGTGGCCCCGGACCCGTCCGGTGGGGTCCACGATCTGAGAGGAGGCAGGTTCCTCGTGTGAATGGCAAGGGCCAATTGGGTCGTGCGGGGGTGGCTCTTGCTCAGAGAAGAGGCAGACCCCCAGGCCGAGATTGCGGGGGGGGGGGGGGGGTCTCCTGGGCAGAGCAGGGGGAGCAGCGTTCCATTAAAGCCGAGTCGTTTCAGCACCGGCAAGGGGAAGGTTGTTGTTAAAGCTGCGAGGCCACGGCAGCCAGCGGTCCCGGGGTTGCGGGAACATTCCCGTGGCTAAACGCAACAATTAACGTGCAGGAGACGCAGAGCGGCTATCTGGCCGCTTTGCTTGGTGTAAGCCGCAGCGAGGAGAGCATTTGAATAAGACAATGAAGACAATTTATGAAAGCAACATGTTTTTCGTTTGAAAAACAAAACAGAAAAACGTGCTCCAATAAAGCAGGCAATTTCTGGCATAAAACCTCGCGTGACAGGTCCAGGCATGTGGCCCGGGAATTACAGTGCGGGCGCTGGGCCGTCTCGCAACGCCCCCGCTGCATGCGCCACGCTCGATACAGTTCCCGTCTCTGCCCGGGGAGAAAAAAAAAACGTGGCGCTTCTCCACTTACGGGCAGCACGGCAGAACGGCGCTTTGATCAGCTCAATCAGCGGCGATTGGATCCGAGGAACTCGATATCTGCTGCGGCAGAGTGGCACTGGCAGGAGGAGCGGGGTGGGCGGTGGTGGCGTGACCCCTTGTCACCCCGCCACTGGGGCAGGGATGTCGGGAGACGCTGACCGGAGCAATCGGCTCCACTACCACTGTCGCCACTGTCGCCACTGTCGCCACTGCCGCCGTGACCGCTCAGCGATTGGCTACTCTGACCAGTGGCATCACAATCTATCCTGAGTGCTCTTCATCTCATCCGGTGGTTAAATGTTCAGCACACCGCGCAACAAACCTGGCGACCCGAGTTCGGTCCCCGCTCACGGCCAATATCAGTGGTGATTATCTGACCTGGTCCTGGGCCTTCCTGAGGTGGAAATCAGCCTGAATTGAGATTCTGGGGCAGAGAGTAAACATCAGAACAACGGAGACTGCTGAGCATGGTGCTGAGACCACACCACGCCCTCATGTGCTGTACCGGCGTTAATGGTGATCGCATTTGCCCCAACAGTCTGTGCTTGTGTGCGCACTCACAAGTCGGCATGTGTCCTTGTGTTTGTCGGTTTGTCCGAGTGTCTCTTGAAATGATAGTCGGCGGTCAACTGAGCGTCTCGCAACGCCACCTCTCCGCAGCAGATACAACTACTAACCACTTTTAAGGAGGTCAACGGAAGTCGCCCTGTGGGTGAGACTGTTCTCCACCACGACAACAAGGAATTTCCACCACTGGCTTAGATGGAGATAAACATTACCCCATCGTTCGACTGATCAGGGAGCTTGCTGTGCCCTTTTGACGAGGCGACTCAAAATGTCACTGCTTGCGGTGGCAAGCGGCTCTCGCGGGAGAATGCCAGGAGCCGGCCCCCCTGCGTGAAAGGGACGAATTAATTGCTTCACAAAGGCCACGGTGACCTCTCTCCGCCGGGGTGCGCACGAGCAACGGCACCGGTCGTAAAGCCCGGCTGACGCAAAAAAGCACCAACGACCCCACACCAACGCAACGCCACGTCTCCCGATATCTGATCGCCGCGCTTAAGGGACGCGCTCACAAAACAAAACATTTTCCTTTAATTAGTTTTCAAGATGACGACAGTGGCAGGCGCTATTTCCAGCTGCTGCATAAACACCGTTTCAGTCCCACACCACCCCCTGCCACGATCAGCCCATTACTCGGGCTAAGCTGCTCCTGCCGGCAGGGATGGACGCATCATCCCCCTCAGTAGGGGGGGGGGGCGGGGGATCGGACCCTAATTAAAGACATACCCCTCTGACGAAGGTGGGGGGGGGGGGCAGGGGAGCGGCGTGTGGGTGTGGAGGCCCAAGCGATTTCGCGGCTACGTGCGCGCCGTCGGCCACGCGGGGTCATTCCGGTGCGGGGCCGAGGGCCCTCGCAAGGGCACCGCACGCCCAATTACCGCCGCTCGCTGACATAATTGCGCGGCGGAAGAGGGGCTGGTGAGCGGGCCCTGCCAGCGGCTCGTGTAGGGCCCCCCCATTAGTTTGTCAAGACGGAGGCGGCGGCCCTGGCCCGGCAAGCCCCGCCGGTCCCGGTATGGCCCCGAGAACAGTGCCGCTCTTGTGCCCTCCCCGCGCACGGTCATCAATTTATGCCAAAAAAGGAGAAAACCCGTAACTAGCCCCGCGGTTTTATGGAAAGCGGAAACGACATCGTGCGCAATTTCTCTTTCGCTCCAATTTTTGTCGTTTTTTTTTGCTTGCTTGCGGGGAGAAAAGAATTCGGAAATTTGAAACCTGCCCCGCCGCTCGATAAGAGAAAGTGAAGGGTTATTAATGCCGCCGTTGTGTTTGCCGGGCCGATCCTTCGGCCCCGTCCGTGACCGGCCCTCGCGCGGGCCCAGACATGGGAAATGGACCTCGCGTCAAAGATAACGGCGCCCGCCCGCCCGCCTGCCCAAAAACGTTTCGGGTGCGTCTAGATTAGAACTACATTTTAAAACGCTTGACTTCAGATTAGAGGATTAAGTTGGGGTTTCTCTTTGAGAGATAGGGAGATTGCTTCGCCGAACTTAAAACAAGCAGTGGCGACGATGTTTGGATTGAAAATAAGAGAGGTGGGATGCTAGGAAAAGCACTATTAGTGTAGGAAGGGCTCTGGAGGCTTATTGGGCATTAGCCCCTGGGAAAGGAGATAAGCCGATCGCTGACTGAAACCACTAATTAGGAGCTAACACGGAACAGGCCACACAAACATCGGCAAGTGCCGCCACTGCTTCAACTACTGCCCGTGCAAAAGGGCGATGGCCTAAGCCGTGCGCCAGCCCAGGCCATCGATGGCCTGGCGATTGATCACGGCAACTCTCGTACAATAGCGTCTCCTCTCCTGAGGCGTCTGGAAAAGTGCTGAAGTGAAGGCTAAAAAAACACCCTCTCTTAAGAGGGGCATCTAACAGAGGTCTTCCCGCCAGCAGTACCGTAAGCAAGCACTTGCAGGGCTGCACCTTTTACCCGTGGGTGTTCAGACGCCGTGTTGGCAGTGGTGAAGCAGCGCAGGTTTGTATCACCGCGACGTCCCGAGCAGCGACACATAAATAATAATAATAATAACGCGTGTCACCGTCTGGGCCAGCGCGTCCCCCTCACAGCACCACGCGAGGAATGTCTCTCCTGCGCACGCACGCGGGCACGGTGGCTGCGCAGCATCACGAGGTTGCGCTCGCGATAAACACGCCAACAGAGCTGGCCTGTGCGGCACCCTTGCAATGGTTTGCTGCTGTCCAACCGCATTGTCGGTGCAGCTGCCCTAGCTTCATGGGCTTCATAATGACGACTCTCTGTTACGGTGTTGAACATTACTCCATGTCTTACGGCCTAAAATGCACGGTAATTCTTGACGTGTGCACTCCTCATTCTCTGTATTTGAAAAGCTACTGGATTCAAGAGTAACCGACTTGCTGTACTCCTCTCTCCCACAGGCACCACTTTGTCAAATTTACGTAACAAAATAACCTGCTGTGTACTCGGACAGGACACTACCCGGGAACTCCGGTTGTGGTTGGCTTAGGCTGCGAGGTGGCCAGAAGGTGGCAGCTCCATCCTATCTCCGTGGGTGTACGTGGTGGGGTGTACGTGGTGGGGTGTACGTGGTGGGGTGTACGTGGTGGGGTGTACGTCGTGGGGTGTACGTGGTGGGGTGTACGTGGTGGGGTGTACGTCGTGGGGTGTACGTGGTGGGGTGTACGTGGTGGGGTGTACGTCGTGGGGTGTACGTGGTGGGGTGTACGTGGTGGGGTGTACGTCGTGGGGTGTACGTGGTGGGGTGTACGTGGTGGGGTGTACGTCGTGGGGTGTACGTGGTGGGGTGTACGTCGTGGGGTGTACGTGGTGGGGTGTACGTCGTGGGGTGTACGTCGTGGGGTGTACGTCGTGGGGTGTACGTCGTGGGGTGTACGTCGTGGGGTGTACGTCGTGGGGTGTACGTCGTGGGGTGTACGTCGTGGGGTGTACGTCGTGGGGTGTACGTCGTGGGGTGTACGTGGTGGGGTGTACGTGGTGGGGTGTACGTGGTGGGGTGTACGTCGTGGGGTGTACGTGGTGGGGTGTACGTGGTGGGGTGTACGTCGTGGGGTGTACGTCGTGGGGTGTACGTCGTGGGGTGTACGTCGTGGGGTGTACGTGGTGGGGTGTACGTCGTGGGGTGTACGTCGTGGGGTGTACGTGGTGGGGTGTACGTGGTGGGGTTTACGTCGTGGGGTGTACGTGGTGGGGTGTACGTCGTGGGGTGTACGTGGTGGGGTGTACGTCGTGGGGTGTACGTAGTGGGGTGTAAATGGTGGGGTGTACGTGGTGGGGTGTACGTGGTGGGGTGTACGTGGTGGGGTGTACATGGTGGGGTGTACGTCGTGGGGTGTACGTGGTGGGGTGTACGTCGTGGGGTGTACGTCGTGGGGGTTTCATCTGGGCTCTCGCCCATTTGCTCTCACGTGAAAGCCAGGCACGAGAGTAGCAGCAACCTTCCTGACAAGGTATTGAGACTCTGCGAGGCTTCCCTGGATAAAGAGCATCGTAGTTTTGTAAAGTACTTTTCAAAAAAGACCACATGAACTCAGCGACGTGTGTTCACGTACCATTCCCTGCCTACAGAGCTGTAAAGGTATTGATTGGAACGGGAGGGCAGCAAGAGCCACCCTAGGGCATTGTTGGCAATATTATTATTGTGGTTTCTGCATTAGAGGGGTGTGCCGCTGACACACCCAGTGGCCGCGCGCGAGGACTGCGAGGGTGGGGGGGGGGGGCTACCTGGCTGTGCCTGATCGCTGGGTCGCCGCCGCCCTCCGCCCCCCCCTCTGCATCCCCGTCTCCGTCGGGCAGCTCCTGCTTGATCCGCACGCCCCTCTCGGAGTCGCCGCCACCGCCCGCACACGCCAGCTCCTCCTCCGTCATCTGGGAATGTGGCGGCCGGTCGGCGTGAGCCATGAGCGCGAGCAGAGCACGCGAGCACGCGACCCACACACACGGGTACACCCACACACGCAAACACGTGTACGAATGCACACACGCACACAATACACTCGCGCTCAACATCATGAACATCAGCCGCCATTCGCCGGTGACATCACCACGGCGCTTCTGCCAGACCAGGTGCATGGAAGTGTGGAAGGCTCGCTGTTAGGTCACAGGACAGACCCAGGTGTTATGGGGTTGATTGACTGAGTTGATCGACAGATGCCCTGCCTGCGCTCCCCACCGCGCTACATATGCACGCGCGGTGTGAACATGCACACACACACTTATAGACATCCGTGTACACCGCAAGACGCATGCATGCATCTAAATACACAGGCATGGGTGCGAGTAGGCAGCCGATTAGTCTGTGCAAGTGTGTACGCACACGCACTCAAACACTCGCAATCGCACACGCATGCTGACATGCACGGGTGAGCTAAGGCACCTGGACCGGCCGTAACAACCAAGCGCGTGCACATGACGAACATCCACATGCGCACGCAACGCGCACGCCGCAGCTCTGCATTCCTAATCTGCGGGTCAAGGTAGGAATTGCTAATTTCCCCACAGCGCATTTAGCAGCGGTCTTGATGTTGGATTACACGAGTGCTTAGAACGCAATACCAATCGCGCAGGTGGCCGAGGCTGTTTGCTCGTTTTCAAACTTTATTCCAGTTTCCACTTCTGAAGAGGCCGTCGCCGCCCCGTCCGCTTTCGGATCGGCACCGAGTTCCTGCTTCGAAGGATGGCCGCGCAAATAACCGCGCCCCCCACCGCCACGCCAACCGGGACCGCAGCTGCCGCAGAATCGGCCGGGTATCCCACGGGGGGCGACCGGGTCGGTGGATGCCGAGGCCCCGAAACCCCGGGTGCGGCGCGGACAGCTCCGGCGGACAGCCGCGGGCAGACGGTCGGCACATAGACGACAGCCGGTGAGTGCTGCTTGTAGCGGTTAGCCAGGCCGCAGGCCGACCACTCAGGACGAACGCCCGGCACAGATGGCTCAGGGTGAGATAGTATTTTGACACCCCCCGTAGAATTCTGACCCGTGGCCGCCCACACTTGGGGTCAGAATACGATACATTATTTCACCACCCCTTCTCTGTGGAAGTTTAACACAACCGAGCCTAATTTTCACAGCGGTCAGTCGTACCAACTGACCATTGTACCTGAATATCTGACATGGTGGTTACTATTTCCTGGCCTTCGGTCCCAGTACGAGATGAGATTTTGACCCCAAATAATTTGAAGATCAAAACACGCTACATATATTATTCGAACCCCAGTGTATAAATACAATTACGGCAATATGACTCCCACGCCGCCGTAAGAGTCAAGAACACTAAAAAGATTATAATTTGGGCTAGTGTCATCAACGCAATTCTTCCAAAAGTCGGGTTCGTATCGTCTCTTGTCTGTGTTGAGCTACAGGACTAATACGCTAACTCACAACATCATGACAGGAGAGAAGTTGAATGACCCCGACCGACTGGGGGGGTTCAAATAATATGGAGAATTCTGACCCCGGGGTCAAGACCCGACGTGAGAGCGGCGCTCACCGTGCCCAGCGGCTTGCCCCGGTCCAGGAAGTGGGCGTGCGAGCGCGGCTGCATGGGCAGCGGCGCCGACTGCGTGCGGCTCAGAGGCCGGTGCCGTGAGGGGTTCCTCTCGGGCCCCAGCAGCGGGCCCCGGGGGGGCAGCGGCAAACCCCCCACACCTGCAAAAAAAAAGGCAAACATCCCCACCCCCCAGTGTGGCCTTTAACAGACAGTTGGGGCAAGTGCTGTCAGTGAGCACCTATGAAAGCACATGATGCGCTAGGTGGCCAACACCACACCCATTGTCTCCCCAATGTTGATGTTGCACTTATGTAAGGATGAGCGCCCTGGACCAGTTCAAATATTTGTCGCTGATGTTGACCGTGAGCGGGAATCGAACTCGGGTCGCCAGGTTCATAACGAAGTGCGCTAACCGTGACACTACCGCTCAGAAAACAAAGATCCCCCACATAGCCTGAACAGACTGCTTGGGCAAGTGCCGTTAGCAAGTAGCACCTATGAAGGCTGGCATGGCACACGAGGGGGTGGGTGGCCATCACCACGCCTGGCAGCCTTTGTCTCCCTAGTGGCGATGTTTTCACACCACACTAGGTTCAGATAATTGTCACTGGTGTTGGCCACGAGCGGGAAATCAAACTCGGGTGGTCGGGTTCGTAGCGCAGCACGCTAACCGCTGCGTTACCGCTCCCCACACACACATACATACACGATGAAACACGCGTGCACGCACACGCACACTCGGCCCTTGCCTGCGTTGAGCATGCGGTGCTGGTCCAGCACGAGCAGGTGCTGCTGCAGCAGGGAGGGCCGCCCCGCGCCGCCCCTGTCCGCGTCGCCGCTGGCCGACGCCGTGTAGGGCAGTGGCAGCGAGAGGCTGTGGCCCAGCGGCTGCTGCACGCGGCCGTGGTGGCTCTGGGAGGGGTGGTGGGGCAGATGCTGCTGGCCCTCGGGGTCTCCCTGAGTGCCGGAGCCCTGCGGAGGCGGCAGGCGCACGCGCGCAGGACGGTGACCGGATGGGCACGAACAACAAAGACAAAGATCCTTCCCGTACAGCTTTAACAGACTCCTTGGGGCAAGTGATGTTAGCGAGCACCTATGGGGGCCGGCAAGGCACACGAGGGGGTGTGTATATACACACACTCCAATGCATTGATGTAATAATAAATAGTCATGCACACGTGCACAGGTACAGATGGCCATGGATGCACACACAAGGCACACTGAAACAGTCATACACGCACACAAAATACACTATATACACAGACACACGCGAGTATACACACAGCCACGTAGATGGACACAATTAGGTCAACACAGCCACAAAAGTTCCAGCTCCATCCTCAGTAAAACAGAGCAGCTACGCCAGCAATGACATCTTGCTTGCCCCCACTCGGACGACAAAAACACTCCAGGTCATCATCATCGTCATCATGATCCATGGGCAGACAGCCCATGGGATCGTCATTTATTTCCAGGTCATTAAAACACAAATGCCCAGAACGCAAGGCAGAGGGGGCCCCGGCTCACAACGCAACGTGGAGTGGAGCGAGAGTGCAGGGTGGCAGATGGGGGGGGGGGGGGGGGTCTCACGTTGGCGGGGAGGCCCAGGGAGATGTTGGGCAGAGACGGAGACATGTAGAGACTCTCCTGAGCAGGGCCCGAGCCCTCGCGGCTCAGAGGGCGGTGACCAGGAGCAACCGCCTGTAGGAGGGGCATGTCGTTCGTCCACAATGCAATCCACTCGCAACACAATCCATCATCAACGCACCCAATCCGCAATGCAATCCAATGGTATTGCAATCCCTCCACAATGCAATCCATCCTCAACACACTGCATCCACAACACAATCCATTCGCAACGCAATCCATCCTCAACACACTTAATCTGCAATGCAATCCATCCAATCCATCCCTCACACTCCATCGCCGTCCGCAATGGCGGTGAGTGGCCTCACCTCGGAGGGCGCGTGGGGGCCTAGGCCGTTCTCCACACCGTTGCTCGGTGAGTCCGGTCCCGAGCTGACCGCCGCGTCCTTCATGGAGGCCTCTGCCCAACGCGGGGAGGCAAAAGGGAGTCGGCGTCTCAACCGCGGCGGAGCCCGGTGCTTGTCCGGCAAAGGGGGGGGGGCGCCACCACGAACACGGCCGTCGTTGCGTGCCGCGCGCCTACACGAGCGCGCCTCGTTGTGCGCGCGTTTTATTTGTTGTGGTGACATTTATAAGTGGTCCTGGGCCTCCCACAGGTCGACTTAGCCTCAAATGAGTACCTGGTGCGATGTTTAAACATCGACCCCGAGGGAGACAAAGGCGGCCGGACGTGGTGCTGGCCACCCACCCACCCCCTCGTGTGCCGTTCTGGCCTTCATGCTCGCTAACAGCAGTTGCCCCAAAAGTCTGTTTGGGGATATACGGGGGATCTTTATCTTTGTGTTCATTAGCGGCTGTGGTTGAGTGGGAGGTGCAGCAGACAAATTCAACATCGCAGGCCACAGCACGTGGCTCCCTCTGCTGACAGGGCCCGGGCATACCCAGCTGGCTCGTAACCACGCAACGACTGGACGGGGCAATCCACTGCTGGATGACGGCCTTCTCAATGCCGTGCGTTTGGTTCATTGGGGTTGTTTGACCATACTTCACCAAGCTTGTCAGAGCAGGTTGGTGAAGGCGGGGGAGGGGGGGGGCAGACGCTTTGCAACTCGGTGCAACACAGCAATGGTGTTCATTCAGACGCTGTCTTTCCGACAGACCTGTTCTTCACCTGAGGACAGCTGCTTGCGTTGTGGCCGAAACGTCGTGAGAATTGTATTTTATTATGTTATATTCTTATTATTTAATTATTTCCCTTCTACGTGACTTTACCGAAAGAACCAAGAAGATAAGACACAGCAATGGGTTTTGCTGCACTGCCCTCTGCTGACCTCGGGCGCGTGGGGACGGACGGACGTACGGATGGACTCAATCGATCCAAGTCCGATTGTGCTGCTTGTCATACCCACATTGAATGGTGCACGTGAGAATCGATTATGTGTGAATTGGTTCACATAAACCCTTCCAGCCATTTGAGGCTTCATACATCAGAATTTCTCAAATCCAGTCCTCGCCAAAAAGCCAACTCTCTCCGTGATTACCAACCATCAGGCACGTGAAGTACATGGTGGGCAGCTTCATTTGCATGAGAATAGAAGACATTGTTCATTGACAAAAAAAAAGGGCGCACAACAGTGGCAGGGAGGGAGGGGGTCGCAAGGACTGGAGTTGAGAAACAGCGGTCTACGATCACGACAACGGCAAACAAACAGCACCGATTGTCAAGTCAAATCCCAACCTCTGAATCAAACAATTCACCGAATCATGAAGGTGGCCTAATAATTAGCAGCCTGGGCAGTAGGAAGGGTTTAATGTATGTATGTATGTTGAACTTCTTTCACAATAATCGGAGGTCCGGGGGAAGGACAACAAACTCAACACAACAAGCAGTTCTAAAGAAATGCGTTGTCAATATAGATTTAAAAGTGTGTAGCTCCGGTGGTTTCCTAACATCGGAAGGAAAAGCGTTCCAGACGGCCGCAAAAGCGCATCTGAAAGCGCCACGCGATGCGGTGACCATCTTTGTTCGATGGCTGAGCAAAAAGCCGCTGCTGGGAGGATGACCGGAGTTTGTGGGATGGGAAGCAAACGAACGCACGGGCCATAACGGGGGAGAAGGGGCTCTCGCAATTTGAAGTGTCGGGGGAGGGGGCGAGTAGGAGGGGGGCAGCTGTCATGGCCAGGTTGGGGGGCTGGGTCGGGGAGGCTCTCACCGGTGGCCTCGTGCGGTCGCTTCTTCCCGGCGGGGAGCCCCCCGTCTTTCCGGCGGAGTAGGGGACTCCCCCGCAAGCGGTCGGCCCCCTTCTTGCTCAGACGGTGCCGCAGCTTCAGGTTGGGCTCCGATGCTGCGCAGGAGTCGGGGGGGGGGGGGTCACAGGGGGTAAAAGGTCAAACGTGACCCTGGGATGAAGGTGATGAAAGAGAGAGCGCGCGGCACAGTGGGCTTCAAGGAAAACTTTTTTTAAAGAGAAAACACGAAGATGATTAAACTCGTGAGAGACTGAGAAATGTAGGCGCTAGACTAAACTCGCCACGTTTGGCAATGGCCATCTCCTTTTGTTGAATCCAAAATAAACATAATTTTTTTGGGGGAAAGGAAAACTTGCAGATGAAAAACCCCCCAAATGCGTCCTGCCCTCAGCAGAGATTTTACGTGGAATCTCTCTGCATTACACGCAAACATGAAATCTTTTACAATTCTGGTGCCGACATAAACAACCTGAGAATCCCTCAAAGGCAAACGTGGAGATTGGTTGCATTTACAGGAGGGCTTTGTTAAAATGAGAAAAAGGCTTTGAAATGAAAAAAATAAAGAAATATATCCTTGAAGCGCGGTCATAACAAAACGAGCAGCAGCGAGACAAGTCGTACTTTGAACGGGTTTGGCTTCACGGAATCCACGGTTTTTCATCTGCCGCACGCGTGACGGGAACGCTTTTCTTCCCGCAAAATCAACTGAAGGACTCCGCATCCCAAAAATGTGCACGGAGCTGGCGACGCGCTCCCTGTGGGGGCGCTCGGTCGCTAATCGTGGTGGCTCGCCGGCATAAAAAGAGCGGTGCTCCTGCCACCGGGCCGAATGCGCTCCGGATCACCGGGCGAGAACGCAACGGTGCGTACACAAGGAGCCGGAGCTCGATTCAGCCACACGCTGCTTGCACGGCATGGCACTAACCCAACCCACACTTCGATTGGTTCCTTACCGACGCTCACGTTAGCGATGTGAATGTCATGGGGTTAACGTGTCACCGATGCAGCCACCGGAGGCACTACCATTCATCGCGATGTAACACAACAGAACCGGTTCTCGTATTGAATCGTGAGGATATTAGCGAACCACCGTGGAAGGGAGGAAAAGGGAGAGGCAGGCAGGAGGGGAGGGAAAGAGGTAATAACACTCTCTCTCCGCACTCAGCATGCATGTATGTATGGATGTTGAACTTCTTTTGCACCGTACGTAGCCAACAATGCCAATTGGATATGCGGGGGAAGGACAACAAACTAAACACAAAAACCAATTTTAACGAAATGAGTTTTCAATACAGAAGATTCAAACGTGCATAGCTCCCAGTGGCTTCTTAATATCGGAAGGAAGAGTGCTCCAGACGCCCGCAGAAGTGCATCTGAAAGCGCCGCGCGATGCGGTGACCGTCTTTGTTCGATGGCCAGCGCGGGGAACGTCCCCGTGTGTAAGACCCGACCTGGCGCGGTTCCTCCGCATCCTCCCCCCGCCCCACACCAGCGATGCTCGCCCGCGATGCTCGGTGCCAACCGGGGCCGCGCACTTCGACTAAGATCCGTTCCGTCGGTCGCACGCTCCCCGCGTTTTTTTTGTAAATCCCCGCTCCATTTCGTAATAATTCCGCGACCGGAAAACAGGGGAGCGTTTCAGGGAAAGGGCAATTACCTCGGGGCCCCCACGGAGGATTCCGCGGGCCCTCGACTCCGCCCGTGCGTAACGAGCTGCCAGCTGGTTTCGTTTAAAAAAGCGCCACGTTTTTTTTTATTGCAGCCGTCAATCTGAGCGGCACTCAATGGTTGTGCAGGATTAGCCGATTCTCGGCATTAAGGCACGATGGCTTTCACATTGATCCGTCCTGCCCTTGTTATTTTAAATTTGAGTTCTATATCATTTAAATGAGAAGTAATAACAATAATAATAAAAGGTTTTAAAATGAAATGGTTTGCCAGCACCGTACGAGACCCTTTAAGCCCCCCTGACACAAGAGGGCTTTGTGTTACGTCAGTCAGCTGTTGCGCAATGCCCAGCCAGAGTTCGCTTGGCTTTTTACGTTCGCTGAGATGCATTACGCTCAGTGTGGGGAGGGGGGGGGTGTAAAGTGGCTCCTTCAGTGGCTTTAAACAAACACAATAATCTCACCGCCGTCCCATCATTAACGCTGCCTCGCAATCGAAACGCGCACAAGCTGGCCTACGTTTCGGGCGACGACCCTTGGTCTGCAGAGCAGAGAGAGCGTTTGACGGATTTTCAGTTGGGGGCGAATTTTACATCATGTTGCTCCGACACCTCGCACAATGACTTAGTAGGCGAACTGAATGATACGAAGGCCAAAATATCATGATCCCGTTTCCCTCTCAATAACACAATAAAAAAACCTGATATTTTCAGCAACTTGCCATTGATTATATATAGGCAGCGAGCATTAATATGCACGGAAAATTCTACAAATGTAATGTAGGGTGGATTGGTGGCACAGTGATGAGCGAACTGCTCTCTGAGCCTAATGACCCGAGTAAGATTCTTAGCCGTGGCAACCATCAGTGGCGAGTGGCGTCTTACAGAGGGGTCTTGGATGCACACGCCTTCCTTAAACCGCAATGGTCAGGGTGGTGAAGTATGGTCAAACAAACTCCACGCCCGACACGGCGCGAGCAAGGCTCATCCAGCATCGGATTGAAAAAGGGCTGTGAATTACCATACATTTCACATCATGCATTCTTTCACGTGGCATTTGAAAATAACCCAAAGGCTAGGACTGTATCTGCTGTATTTCGCAACCCATTCCCATGCATTAGTGCGTCACAGCAGAACCAACTATCCCATTTCCATAAAGTCTGTGGTTTAGATCTGACGTATACACTATGGGGCACTGTAGGTTCATCCACATGCCTTTTGAACAACACCGCTCCGAAAGAAGACAGAACGTGTTCCTACTCGCCGAGCCCCTTTTGTCGATCCACTGCTGGATGCCGTGTGGGTGGAGGATATCATTTTGACCGCACTAAAACCTACCACGTGTCAGCGTGGATGGTGAAGCCGGGGAGCATAGAGGACAGCACAAATTTGGATTTCGCTGCACTGCCCTCTTACAGCTTATAGCAATATTCAGGCTCAATCGATGATATCGGGTGCATTCTGGGCAATTCAATCATCAACCTTTTGCTGAATATTGGACGTAAAAATAAACATTTGACAAGATGAAAACGTGGCCTATGGAGCCATTGTGCGGCCAGCGCATGTGATATGTGCCCACTCATGCGTGTGTTTGTTCTTTGTCAAAACAGCCAGCTGACTTGCATATCTGCATATCTCTCTATATATACCCACGCTACCATCGTCGCGTGTCCCTGTTGTTCACAAGCATTCGGTGCCGACATGCCCGGCCGCCCTTTGATGCGTGGAGGAATCTCTGCTGCACGCAAGGAGCCGCTAACGAACGAACAAACGAATAAAACCAAGAACCCGGCCGTTCCTGAACGACCACCGACCATAGAAAAAAAAAACGTGTTCAGATTTTAGGTGAAGCCATCGTCTCGGCAATAGAAGAACACTTCCAAAAAAATCCAGGGTCAGGGATTACGAATGGAATTGCCTCAATATGCTGAGCCGCACCAGTGACGCGTTGCATTATGGGGCGCTTGTGTGGTGTTGTGCCGTTGATACGAGGAGCGGCGGCGTCGTGCACACAACGCGTCTCTCCGGGTCGCAACGCCAATGTCACCACCACCAAAACCATGCCACTGAGGCGAGTACGGCGGCACTCACCGGTCTTACGCAGCGGGAAGTCGCTCTGAGACTCGTACGTGCCGAGGCCGGGGTGCTGGTACGGTGCCGACGGGCTAGTGCGCGGAGGGAGACTCTGGTCCAGTGAGCCGTGATGGCCCGTCCTGAGCCGTGGACACAGCAGCAGCAGCAGCAGCAGCAATGGCAGAAACAACAGGAACAGCAGCAGCAGCAAAGGGAAGGGCACCTCCGATTAGCATGGTTGGCTACATTTGGTGCGAAAGAAGTTCAGCAAACATACAGCAACAACAAGGGCAGCAGCGGCAGCAGTAATGAGGAACAATGCGTGTGAAAGTGCACGCGCTCACGCCACTTTCAAGGCCGTAAAGCGATACTCGACAAATATGCTCGTGTAACGAAAAATAACTCTGGCGACGTCACTGCGAAGTGGGGGGGGGGGGGGGGGGGCGAGCGTCTGTGCAGCGGAACGCGTTGTTCTGGGCGGCAGCGCACCACTCGGTAATGTCGCTGGGTGGACCCTCGCCCCCCCCCCCCCACCCCTGTAGAATTGCCACCAACGAGGGACGATCGTCGCGGCATCACGGCAATCGAGCACAAAATGCGGCCGGGAACACTCGGCTTGGTGTAGCGCCCGAGGCTCGTTGTTGTTGTTGATGTTGTTGTTGTTGATGATGGTGCTGAGCCCCAGATGTTTTCTTGCGGAACTGTGCCGGGGTGTGTTGCTCTCTCTCCTCTCTCCCGTGCTTCCCTACCCTGACCCCCCCCCCCTTACGACCCCCTTCCAATGCTGCCTTACAACATTTAAACGCCGCCGTTAATGTTGTTGTAAAGGATTAACAATCCAGCGTCAAGGGACAAAGTGAGACGGCGATGCGGCGACGAGAGCGGACACACGGCAACATTCACGGGCACCGTTTTTAGTTTAACGCAGCGTCTCAGTGCACGAGTGCACACCCGTCTCCATTCAGACGCTTTGCAAAGCTCAACACCTACGTTCACGCAGAGGTGGCGGTGCGGTGGTGGGAAGTGGAGGGGGGGGGGGTCTGGGCATTAGGCACGAGAGGGAGAGAGGAGAGAGGAGAGAAAGCCACGGCACCGCCCGGCAGCGACTCCGTCGTGCGACTCGGGGGTAGCTCCCCACGTACATGTGCCAGAGGCGCGGGTGGTGCGGGACGGAGTGGTTCAGGTTGCCAGCCTCCCGCTTCTTCTTGTTGAGAACAAACTCCTGCAGCTTCTGCTTCACCTCCACACTCGCCATGGCACCTGGCAGCAAAGGGGGGGAGCGAGGAGCAAACACCATTTCTATATTTACTTCGATAAAAATAACACACAAAAATCACCAAATGCTGCCCGAGTGTTCGTTAAGGTTAAATGCGTCCGACGCAAGTTCTTATTTTCTCAGAGAAAATAAGAGCGAATGGTTGACCACCCCCAGCAATTTGATGACCCGCCATGAATCAGTCACGGCTTGATTATTGATTCTTTAGGGTCTCACGTTTATCCACTCATTCGTATAATATCATTTTCATTCTCCCTCAGTGGTACAGCTTTTTGTCAGCCGGAAGTACGCTGAATGTAGCGTACGTAGCCAACCGTGCTAATATCAACTGCTGGATGAGATGCCCCACCACCCCCCAATATATAAATGCGAAATGTGGTACTCAGATTGTAAATGTTGTGGCTTTGCTCTCCAACACACCGGTTTTGCTGTACTAGTAACGAATTGAGATGTTCTGTTTACGTGACAAACCTTACTAATTGGCTGTGTCGGGTGGTGGCGGGTTTAACGACACGTTTATACATTTACGCGATATAACCCAAAAAACCCTCTACTATGGACATATATACACCAGCCCCCCCACCGGATGCATCGATTGGCGGAGGGGGTGGGGGGTGGGGGGTGCGCCGTAACCGAGCGCTCGGCGCGTGTGCACACTCCGCTTACTCTCCTGACCCTTCTGCTTGTTCTTGATCTGCGTGAGCTTCTGCTCCAAGCGACGGCGCTCCAGCTCCTGCTCGCGCTGCTGCTGCTCCAGCCGCTGCTGCTGCTCCAGCAGCTCCTGCCGCTGCTGCAGGCGGACGCACGGAAACGAACGCCCCCCGTTGTGCTGTCGGCGAGCGCCTATTAAAGGCTGGCGAGGCAATCCCGTCGAGCCGGGTCGCCGGGGCGCGAGCGCTTGCGCGAAAACCGGCGCCGCTTTGCACGCAAGCGGCACGTCTCTGCCACGACGGGTCGCTCCGCGGTAAAGACGGACGCTACTTTTCGAGGCGCCAATCTGCTCCGGGCATTGCAGCGACGCGTTTCATGGCTGCAGTGATACGACGTTTCCACAACTGTGATCGTGGTCGCAAGAGTCCTGAATACGCGGGTGTCATTAGGTTTCATTTCCATTGTTGCGCAACCATTCGCTCATATGTGGGCCAGAAAAGCAGTTGCAGGCGATTCATTTGCGCAATGTGGACCCGGCTTAAGGGGCACCGATGTTGACCGCACCAGGTGCTGATGTACTCATTTGTTTAGGCTGAGCTGACCTAGGAGAATCCCGGACCTGATTAAGATATTCTTCAGTTGGAAGAATCTTGTTACATGTCATGGCTTGGATTAAAACCATCGTTTGCCAAAATCTTAGCACAGTGTGATAACCATTTTGACTCGCATTTGAACCTTATGGCGGGACCCCGGGGTCCCATAAGGCCCTGGCTCTCGCATAAACTGCGTTGCGACGTCATTTTATGTCTGTTGAAGGCGAACGACACGGCGATCTATTCCTCTCGATGAGCTCTAATCGATGCGTGAATCAAAGTTTCAAAGTTGTGTTTCTTCTGCGCATTCGTCCTCGCCGCTGCGCTTGGACGACACGACAACGGAGCGATCCGCGCCAGGCGGGTCGCGGCGTTGATGTGCGCGGTGGGACGGGGTCGCCAAAAATAAATTAATTCATTACGATTTTGACTTCCGTTTATAAGGTTCATATACCCACACACGTGAATATGTGAGCACACAGTACATATACGTACAGACATGTACCTAGAAAGATGCCCGTAGTTGCTCACAGCTCAGTGCTTTAAAAGGTGGTGGGGCTAGCACCATGCCTGGTCATGCCCGGCCAACGTAGCACAAACACCTCACACATGGCACACACACACATTACACACCACACATGTCATACACACACAAAGACAAAAACAAAGATCCCCCTTATAGACTTAACAGACTAGACGAGCATGTGCTGTTAGCGAGCACCTATGAAGACCGGCACAGCACACCAGGGGTTAGGGTGGCCGACACAACGGCCGGTAGCGGGTAGCGTGCTACACTACGAACCCGGCTAACCGCTACACTACCGCTCAGCGCGCTGCTCTACGCCGGGTTCGTAGTGCAGCGCACTAACTGCGACACTACCACTCACACGCAAAGACACCACACATGGCATATACACACAATACACATGGCACGCACACACACACAAACCACACACACACGACACACAAACCACACACACACAAACCACACACACACGACACACAGGTTGCACATGGCACACATACACCATACGTAACAAAGACAAGGACAAACACACACGGCTCGCAAACACACACTGCACAAAAAAACTCGTGCCCTTCGGGGGGGGCGTCCGCGCCGCACCTGCAGGTGCTGCTGAATCTGCGCCTGGTGCTGCCGCGCCAGCTCCTCCTGCTGCTTGTGGAACTCGGCCAGGAGCAGCTGCTGCTGCAGCTGCTGCCGCTGCTTCAGCACCAGCAGCTCGGCCTGCATCTGCTGGTCGCCGCCGCCGCCAGCCTCGCGTGCCGCCATCTCGGCGCCAGCACGTGCCTCCGCTGCGCACATACACGAAGATCCACCGCCCCCCCCCCGGCCCGGCACATCCTTAACGTAATGTCGGGGCAAGTGCTATTCGCGAGCACCTTTGAAGGCCGGCGCACGGTTGCGTACGTACGCGTCTGTACGTAGAAGTTATTTCGCGCCGTGCGTAGCCAAAGGCGCTAATCGGAGGTGCGAGGGAAGGACAACGAAGCACAAAAAGTGGTTCTAAAGAAATGAGGTTGGTGTGGATGGAGCCACGCCAGGCCGCCTTTGCCTCCCCCAGTGCCGATGACCAGACACTCACAGCACGAACTCGTTTTTAAGGCACGGTTGACCTAGGGGAGGCCAAAGACTGGTGCAGGAGATAGTGTAGCTTAAACAGCTGCCCATTGCCCAGGATATTTACAGCCATTTGTCAATCTGCTGCTGGATGAATGCTGTGCCGCGCAGTGTCGGTCATGGGAGGTTGTTTGACCACACATCACTGGACTGTGCTGGTCAATGTGGATTGGTGTCGTGGATGTCCGGGGCCATTCTGGATGTCACTTGCCAATAATGATAGCCGTGGCTTGGACTCAAACGCTAGTCTCCCGGTCCGGGTTCATAGCACAGCGAGCCGACGGCGATGCCACCACGTCCCCCTGTTGTCTATGGCAGTGAAGGGAAACGCAGGCCTCCAAGGTTTTCGCGAAAGCTTTTGCCTCTCGGAGCCACTGGGTGGCAGCAGCAACCTGGGTGACGGGCTAGGTGCATTCCCTGTTTGCCCTGGGAGCCATGGCACCTGGGGCCACCGTGAGCAGGCTCTGATTGAGCCTAGGGTGATCCTGACTGAACCTCTCATCCAATGCTGAAAGTCATCACTGACTTGATACGCTCTCCCTTAATCAAATAATACCAAGAAAAATGCCCTATATTTACCTAGTTAAAGCCTCAATACTTTTCACAACGGTCGTACCGAATAAGAGATGTTTGGACAATTCCATTATCGAGGGAAACCAAAATTCCTGCAAAGTACCAAACATAGAAGGATCCTTTGCTGTACTGGAATCTTACTGGTCACTAAGATTAAAACACCTGGTAGTCCCAAGAAGCGCCCCCCCCCCCCCCCCCCCATGCACGTATTGGTAGCAGCCAAGCTCAACTGTGCTTAGCTTCCAAGATCCAAGGCGATTTGGTTGCATTCAGGGTGATTTTGTTGCAGGCCTCTATAATCGCATTGGGCTCTCACTTGCTCAGAACGAAGTCGGATTACAATGGTGCCACCACACAGCCCAGGTTGGCCCTGGAAAACGAGCCAATGTCGTGTCGTGTAACTCAACGGCGAGCTTAATCTCGTGATACGACCACTGCTATACGAACGATTTCCCAACTAAATGTGTCTCGCAGAGACTTGTAACAGGATTTGTGCTTACGCTAGGGCCAGTTTTCATACGCCGGTCGCGAACACACTACGACTCCGTACTGGAGTGATTCGGTGACTGCCGTATGAAGAAACAGGCCTTGTACCTGCGCTTTTCACAGGTGGTGGCCGACCACACTCCAGATCGGAGTGGGAGTGCGTTTGCCGACCGGCATTCGAAAGAATTATGAAATGTACATGCAAAACATATGGGGTACGTTTATTCAACTAAAACCAAACGACTATTTTACATTTTTACAGAAAAACTCGACGCGACGTCTCGTCAGTGCGCGTATCGGCCCGTCGAGCCGGTCCGTGCGATACGGGGGAACTTTTACGATCACCCCGGCGTTATTTACAGGCGAGAGACACTTTGCCGCGGGCGACAAAGGGAAGCGTGCAGACCCCACAGGTGGAGCGCCGCAGCCAGAAATGGAACCTTCCGGCAGAGTGTGGGAGCGCGCAGCCAGTTTTGGCAGGAAAATATCATAGCGCAATTTTTCACAAAAATTGAACTGCCAAACGCACTCACCCGCAGGCACTGAAAATAGGTTTATTTTTATTATTTTTTTATGATCAGAATTCAAACCGCCAGACATGACACAACACGAAATCTACCGTACATCTTAGGCAATTTCATTATCTCCTCACAACCCCCCCCACCACACACAACTGGTACATACACAGGCCCAGCCTGGCTGATAGAAAAGCTTTACAGTCATGTCTTACGTCTGTGCTACTGCTGCTGCCGCTGCTGCTGTGGAGCATCAGACCTCGTCGATGAATGAGGATAACATTTTCAAGACTAAGAATTACAGAAAGGGCCACGCCAACAGAAATACACACGAATAAACACCACAGGGACTTTGTACATATACAAACTCAAACGCAACAGACACAAGACAGGACCCGCATGCGCGGCACCGTACAAAGAACCGCAGAACAAGAAACTATACGAATAACTGCGAGTGCGGACTTACATTTACGGAGTATAGAAGATGAATCCCTGCAGTCACGAAAGCTTTAAATCGAAATATAGTGTGTAAAACAAGGATTTTGAAATAATGCTAAAAAGTAAAAAGAACATTACAAGTGCAGTCCTTTTTTGTGGTTACATTTAAAATGCGCATATGTACGAAGACTCCATCAACTGAAATATTCCAAATGAATGCACGACGCATGCACACAGTGCAGCGGCCACGCACACAATCACGCACACAGATGTACAGTGAGGGAAAAAGTATTTGATCCCCTGATGATTTTGTACGTTTGCCCACTGTCAAAGAAATGATCAGTCTATAATTTTAAGCAATCAATCAATCAGATTCCAAACTCTCCACCATGGCCAAGACCAAAGAGCTCCCCGAGGATGTCAGGGACAAGATTGTAGACCTACACAAGGCTGGAATGGGCTACAAGACCATCGCCAAGCAGCTTGGTGAGAAGGTGACAACAGTTGGTGCGATTATTCGCAAATGGAAGAAATACAAAAGAACTGTCAATCTCCCTCGGCCTTGGGCTCCATGCAAGATCTCACCTCGTGGAGTTGCAATGATCATGAGAACGGTGAGGAATCAGCCCAGAACTACACGGGAGGATCTTGTCAATGATCTCAAGGCAGCTGGGACCATAGTCATCAAGAAAACAGTTGGTAACACACTACGCCGTGAAGGACTGAAATCCTGCAGCGCCCGCAAGGTCCCCCTGCTCAAGAACGCACATATACATGCCCGTCTGCAGTTTGACAATGAACATCTGAATGATTCAGAGGACAACTGGGTGAAAGTGTTGTGGTCAGATGAGACCAAAATGGAGCTCTTTGGCATCAACTCAACTCGTCGTGTTTGGAGGAGGAGGAATGCTGCCTATGACCCCAAGAACACCATCCCCACCGTCAAACATAGAGGTGGAAACATTATGCTTTGGGGGTGTGTTTCTGCTAAGGGGACAGGACAACTTCACCGCATCAAAGGGACGATGGACGGCGCCATGTACCATCAAATCTTGGGTGAAAACCTCCTTCCCTCAGCCAGGGCATTGAAAATGGGTCGTGGATGGGTATGCCAGCATGACAATGACCCAAAACACACGACCAAGGCAACAAAGGAGTGGCTCAAGAAAAAGCACATTAAGGTCCTGGAGTGGCCTAGCCAGTCTCCCAGACCTTAATCCCATAGAAAATCTGTGGAGGGAGCTGAAGGTTCGAGTTGCCAAACGTCAGCCTCGAAACCTTAATGACTTGGAGAAGATCTGCAAAGAGGAGTGGGACAAAATCCCTCCTGAGATGTGTGCAATCCTGGTGGCCAACTACGAGAAACGTCTGACCTCTGTGATTGCCAACAAGGGTTTTGCCACCAAGTACTAAGTCATGTTTTGCAGAGGGGTCAAATACTTATTTCCCTCATTAAAATGCAAATCAATTTATAACATTTTTGACATGCGTTTTTCTGGATTTAGTTGTTATTCTGTCTCTCACTGTTCAAATAAACCTACCATTAAAATTATAGACTGATCATTTCTTTGTCAGTGGGCAAACGTACAAAATCAGCAGGGGATCAAATACTTTTTTCCCTCACTGTACCAATCACGCACACAATCACACACACTGATGCACCACACACACACACTGATGCAGCAGTCACAAACACTGATGCACCACTCACACACACACTGATGCAGCAGTCACACACACACTGATGCAGCAGTCGCACACTCACTGATGCAGCAGTCACGCACTCACTGATGCAGCAGTCACACACTCACTGATGCAGCAGTCACACACTCACTGATGCAGCAGTCACACACACACTGATGCACCACTCACACACACACTGATGCACCACTCACACACACTGGTGCACCACTCACACACACTGATGCACCAGTCACACACACACTGATGCAGCAGTCACACACACACTGATGCAGCAGTCACACACACACTGATGCAGCAGTCACACACTCACTGATGCAGCAGTCACACACTCACTGATGCAGCAGTCACACACACTGATGCAGCAGTCACACACACACACTGATACACCACTCACACACACACTGATGCACCACTCACACACACTGATGCACCACTCACACACACACACTGATGCACCACTCACACACACTGATGCACCACTCACACACACACACTGATGCACCACTCACACACACTGACGCACCACACACACACACACACTGATGTACCACTCACACACACACTGATGCACCACTCACACACTCACTGATGCACCACTCACACACACACTGATGCACCACTCACACACACACTGATGCAGCAGTCACACACACACTGATGCAGCAGTCACACACACACTGATGCAGCAGTCACACACACACTGATGCACCACTCACACACACTGATGCACCACTCACACACTCACTGATGCAGCAGTCACACACACACTGATGCAGCAGTCACACACACACTGATGCAGCAGTCACACACACACTGATGCACCACTCACACACACACTGATGCACCACTCACACACACACTGATGCAGCACTCACACACACACTGATGCAGCAGTCACACACACACTGATGCAACACTCACACACACACTGATGCAGCAGTCACACACACACT